TAGTTTTTCCCAGGAGTCTCCCATCCAGGTACTGACCAGGCTCACACTGGTGGGCTTCAGAGGGCTGCTGGTTGTGAGTTGCAGAGTGACATGGCTGATGGCCATTACCTGTGCCCTGTGAAACCCTTGGATCAATTATCACCCATGTGGACAGCAACACCAGCATTTTGTCCATGAATCCATTCAAATTCCAACAGCTCCGCCTTTAAAGCAAAAGTACTGTCATTTAGGGAAAAAAAAAAGATTAAAACGCTGCAGGTCAAATGGACTCCAGAGGTACATTATGGCCAAAAAAGTTAATTACAGGCTGGATTAGGCGCTAGGTGCCGTAACATCAGGCGAAGGAGCGCGCCTGCACCACCAGAGGGCGCAACCGTTCCTTTTTTTTTTTGCTAGGCATCAGTTTCATCGTTCAAAAACACCAACTTCCCAGACAGAAGGGAAGACAGCGCATTATCCTACATTCCAGGACTTCATTTTCTCTTAAACAATGTTGCATGGTCATGGATAACGGCAAACTTTTACTTATATTAATTATTGTTAATAAAAGTCCACAGCCACTCTGCACAACCCCGTGTTAAGGTTACGTGTCCGAACAGCTCAGACCTCAGCATCTCGCACGTCCAAGAAAACACAAGTTGTCTGCCACCTGCAGAGAATCCACAACGTGTTGGGGTCAGCCTGCAGTAAAGGAAACCTTCAGTTACCCCTGGGGCAGACCCTAGGTAGTAGCAGGGTGCGAATCGCAGAGCTGAGGTGCCCCCCTCAGACAAGGCCCTTGGGTACCCAGGCTGGGGGAGGGGGGGGGCTGCCCTCAGACAGGTCCAGGCATCTTCCTCAGACACTCAACACACAATTTGTGGGTTCACTGCTCAGTTAAGGGGAAGGCACTCATTGTAAAATTATTCCATTCTGCGCTACACCCCACCACTGCACCAGCGCAGGAGAGACCCCCATCCCCTGCAACATGCACACAGACTGCAGGAGCCCTGGCCAGACACAGGGGG